GTTAGGGTCGTAGGGGCATCACACGCACTGTAGCCAAAATAGAAGTGGTGTGTTTTGGGCAAGATCGTCAGACGGAGTCCAACTCTCTCTAGGTTGGTTTGAATTCAGAGAGGTTCCTTCTCCTAGACTATAGAACCCAGTCTGTCTTGCTATTTACCCATAGCCTTTAAAAGACGGATTCATAGCTTTCCGATAGATATTACCACGTAAATGGTTATAATGGACTCGATTCGATCAATAATATTTTTGTTCTTGTATATAAATACTTGTTACAGAATAAAATACTCGCATTTGCCCAGAAGACAAAACGCGTCGGCTGAGATAAATTTTCCTTTTCTCTTTACTGACATTGTCCTTTTACATATCTACTCTATCTGAAAATTTGCACTTTCTTACAATCAGTTATAAAACACCTCATATCTCATACTTACCGAAGGAGATAATTCACATTATTTTATATATAGTACCTCTTCAGAAGGTGAAAGATCATGGTTCTTCACAGCTTCCTGTTCCTTGTAGCTCTTAGCAATGATTGTCTGTTTACCACACCTACATGTCTCCACTTTGTCATCCATATGCACAAACATGTTAGGTAGAATACTCAATGTTTTCTTTACATCTCTCTATCGGTCCAAAGTTCCTATTTAAATTCGAAGAAATTGTCCCGCAATAATTGCCCTAGAGAAGAACTGATATTACATAATTTTGCACTCTTTTCTTTGTTTCTAACGAAATTTTCAACGTTTCTTTATACTTTGTTTAGTTTTGGTGAAGCATCTTCCTATATTCGCTTAATGCAGTTAAAATACAAAAACGCATACAAATACCCCCCTTACACACGTAACAGGTTTTCGTCCACATCACGTTGAAAACAAGTTCTTGTACGATTGCCGAAGTTAAGCAATGCCACTCCTAGTCAGTATCTAGATGAGTGATCTCTTAGTAAGCTTCGATGGGCAGCTGGTGTAATGGACAATCGCTAATAAATAGAAATCCATTACTTTTTAGAATATATATATATATATATATATATATATATATTCATATATATATATATATATATATATATATATATATATATATATATATATATATATATATATTCATATATATATATATATATATATATATATATATATATATATATATAATATATATATATTCTTCATATATATATATATATATTCTTCATATATATATATATATATTTCTTATATATATATATATATATATATATATATATATATATATATATAGCATAGCTGGCTACTCGTATTACTTCCTATTGCAGACTCTTGCTCAGGCACAGCGTGTTTATTCAACACCCACCTGTGGTTTATACGGCAACTATGCTGAGCAGACCTTAGTTATAGTTTCTGGGAAAGAGCGTGTTATCTAACGTGATCAACAATTTGAAAAAGGCCAGAACGCTCATTACCTTGGTCACGATGACTTGTGACTTCGTGCTAGCACAGATATCGACGGTCCCATCTACCCAATTTCACTCATAAGTCTTGGAGCAACCCGTGGTATGGTTTTCAGTCACCTTCCAAAGGTGCCGCATACTGGGATCTCCCTGCCCAGTCCGATAACATCAGCAAGTCTCCTTGAAAAATATGATAGATCGATAGATAGATAGATAGATAGGTGTCTGTGTGTGTGTGTGTGTGTGTGTGTGTGTATTTTTAAACGAAATCCTGACAAGTGAGAGGTTATGAAAATCAGAGCGGACATCCGATAAGTGTAGTGATTTACTGATTTGTTTTTTTTTACGCATTATCAACTCTTTCTAGGTTATTTGAAACCGAAAAATACCTCGAATTGTGGGAGGTTGCTTACAGTAACCAGTGATACCACGTGGTCCCCCCATAAAAATCTCCAAAAATAAAGTGTAGATTTGCGTTGTATTACTTACCACTTTCCTGTCCTGTAGATAGCTTTTTTTTCCTTCGATTGCTCTTTTGAAACTGAAGGAGGCGACACTAACCTTCTATAATACCAGTTTTACTTGGCATTGATAATTCGTATTGCACTATGGCCTTCATATCCCAGAAAATTACAATAACTGTTTTGAAAAAGGTTTTGGTTTTGCGCTTGATGCATATGGCTGTCCTAATTTGGCTTTCGATTTTCGATGCTTTGGATTATAGTTGGATTATATATATTCATGTCCAAAGATAATCTTCTATAAAACAAAAAGAGTTTTCATGTTTGGCAAGAAACGATGTGCATTTAGATTTTACACTTTTCAATGCTTGAATCTTGCGGTTCATAAACAACTCTTTTTTATGGTTTCCCATATTTTGCGATCCGACTATTCGTTAATTTGCACTACAGACAGGATAACCGCTAGTTTAGAATGAAAACTCTGGATTCGAAACCGTGGGGAAACTATTGTACTATATTTCCCAAGAAATCATAACGATTCACGGATAATAAAGCAAGGCATTCTGTTGAGAATCATAATTGCCTACGTCCCGAACGGACATGGTCAAGTCCCAAAGCCATTGAGTGATTGACAAGAAGTCTTTCGGCCTATTCTAACGTTGACGGAATGGAGACGTTATCCAAAAGTTATCACTTCAAAATTCTCGTAGCCTTAAACTTCGCAAGCAATTCACAAAAAACATTGTTTTCGACCGACCCATCTCCAGAGGCTTCAAGAATCATCTTCTTTACTTCTGCTATTATCTTTCCCAACTTCAGAAGAGCATTTAATCTTACTTATTATAAAACGCAGATTGTGTGTGTGTGTGTGTGCGTTTATATATTGGATCGGATTTCCTACATTTTTCAACTGATTTCAACAAAACTTCACAGGACTGCGTAAAATTACCTTGCGGTGGTTCCGACAGCGCCAAAAATTGGAAAAACACAATTGTTTTTGCACGAAATCAATTCGAAAACACGATTAAGTCGCCAGAATGAAAGAGAGACAACTCATATCGAGTTATACTTATTATAAAACCCAGGTTGTGTGTGTGTGTGTGTTCCTTTATATATGGGATCGGATTTCCTACATTTTCAACCGATTTCAAATAAAACTTCACTTTTTTTGGCAGGTAGTGTTTCTTATTGTCTTGCACACTTTTTCTTTATTTTTTACATTCAGAATGCTTTAAAAATTCCATTTACGAGACAATTGTTTATAATTAAATTCTATCCAATCAATAGACTCATAACGATTGAAAACAATGTTTTTGCTTGAGTTTGGGTTTGACCAATTCGTTAAAAAGAAAAAACAACTAATTAAGACATGCGTGTCCGTCAACATTAAACAATAATCTTTGTCAATTTTATTTTTCAGTCTTTATGACGGTCGATACTTGATCTATCTCTTACTGTTACATCCCCGGGCAACGCCGGGCTCTACTGCTAGTCTTAAATATAATTAACAATGTTTTCTATAATATAAAAAAATGTGATTTTATACATTCATCGGTCACGCAGCCTAATAATGCCTACTTAATCATAACATATTCCATTAACGCCAATATGTGAACACACCTCGACTCAAGTAACAACATAATTTCTTTAAACGTTTTTCATACTTTTGATGATTTAAACAGCAGAATATTTTTCAAGAAGTGGATGGTTGGAATTTTTGCAAATGAACATAATAACGAGTATGAGAAAAGGGCAGTAAAATACATTTATTTCAGATGACAGTGTTCCAACAGTTTTTCAAGTAAAAATGGACTGACTTGAAAATTAGAAACTTATATTTTCGATTCTACCTATACCCAGGAATCAATCACTAGCGTCGGTAGCAATCAAATAGTCATCAGAGACAACCACTTCACCATGCTTATACACGTATACACATCGTAGGTCAACTTGTTCACTTTCTTTCCCGGTCTGTTGGACAGGAATAGAGAGTTGAATCTCTTGTTTCCTATATAATTCTGACGTCTCCGCCTAAACTCTAAAATTTTATTTTATTTTACTAATTTCACCCAATAGAAGACCTAAAGGCCACTCAAAATATAGCGTTACTGTTACTATTTATTTTTACTCAATAGGTTCGCCTATCGTCCGGTTCACACTCCTTCCCGGTCTTTTGAACAGGAATAGAGATTTATCCCTTTTTTCTTGTTTAGGATTGTGTTTCCGGTTCCTTCTAAAATCTACTTCAACACTATCGTTATAACGTTTCCGCACAAACACTAAAATTTTATTTACTATTTATTTTTATCGTTATTTTTTTATCAGTAGAAGTAAATAATCCCGCATATGATCCGCGTTATATTTCTCCACGGTCTTTAGAAAAGGAGTAGAGGTTAGTTCTTTGTTTCCTGTTTCGAACTGGGTTTTCTGTTTCTTCTAAAGTCTTCTCATTCTTTCTTTTACTTCCGGTAGCCTCGTTTTAGTGGCATTACCGCCTTGCTTGAGGTGAATTGATTTAAAAAATATCGAAACGTATAGCGCAAATCGTACACATATCGATCAGCAGATCAAGAACAATCTAAACAAGCCTAAACTATCTATTAGCCTAAAAATATATATATTTGTATATAACAACAATAATACTATACTTCACTTATTGTAAGGTAAAAAAGTCAGAATCGTTGAAACTATTATATTGCAAAAGAAACCACCCGTATTAAACAAAATATATTTCATCACAAGTGACGGTATTTTAAAATGTGTATAAAACATTTAAATTTGTATGAAATATTCGAAAATGTTGTCGACGCCCGATGCTGTCAAGCTCTTTGAAACCGTTTTACACATGACGTAACTTACACGATACATGTATATTAAATTTGAATTTAGCGTTCAAAGAACGCTAGGATAAAAATAAGAAAAACACCCTTTCTGTTTCGAACAACATTATTATTATCATTATTATTATTATTATTTTTTTTTTTTGATACATAAATATATTTTGGGTGAAGGGCTAAAGAAACTTCTAAAACGATGAGTATCTGCCAAGCAGTGGGAGTGAATATGTGGAATATCATGGAAATTTCCCCAATTCTCTTTTCTTCTTGTTTTAGTCGAAAGGCTTTCAGCATCTATCTATCTATCTATCTATCTATCTATCTATCTATCTATGTGTGTGTGTGTGTGTGTGAGTTTTAGTTGTGTGTGTTTTGTGTGTGTTCATTTTTTTTCTGACACCAATTCATCGGCGAAACACGTCAAATTAAAGTTTTCCAAATTGTCTTAGTGTTTAGATTATGAAACCCGGGTTCGAGTCTCACCATGCTCGATTTTTCAAAGAGATGACTTCTTTATGGTATCTGCCTGGGGAGGCGATCTTATCGTGAAACGCTGTTGAAATCTGCCTGAAAATTCATACATTGGATTGATCCAAGCCTTGTAGGGGAAATTGGGTAGACGGGCGTGTTTGGAAGCGGTTAATAATTATTTTTTCGTGGTTGAGGGTTTGATCGTACTGACCTTGTTCAAATTGTTGATCACGCTATTTTTTAAGCATTTCACCCCAAAGTAGGCGGGAGTGCCACTAGTATGCAAGGTGCTACAGAGAGTGAAATTAAAGGAAAAGACTGGGTATAGAGGGACTGAGGAAAAGATAACAAGAAGAACGGGGATCAAAGCATCAGAAGATGTCGATTGACATTACAGTTAATTTTTTGAAGATTATAGTTATCGGGGAAAGTAAGAGAAAGGAAGTTCCACTGTCGGGAAGTGCGAGAGAAGAAGCTGCTGGAGTAGAAGAGACGATTACAGTTAACTGTTTCGACAGTAAAAGTGTGGGAACGAGATACCAACCTAGTAACCAGCTTAAATTCATGCGTTTGGTGCACCAGTGAAAATAGCTCGTTGGAGCCGATACCATTAAAATATTTATAGAAACATCAGAGGGAAGTCATATTACGTCGGTGAGAAAGTGACTAGAGTCGAGACTCCAAGTCAGGACCGATCACATTGCATATCCGTCTTTGGAATTTGTCGAGAACCTTGAGATGAATAGCGGGGGAGGGCACAATATATAGTAACAGTATTCCATGCATGGATGAATGGTAGATTTGTAGAGGTGAAGGATTGTCTCAGACGAGAAAAACCTGGCGAGACGCAGAGAAGCAAATTTCCTTGAGGTAGATGCAGATTCAATGTAGTTGTTCTACCTCAGGTCAGTGGAAAACATGAGACTAAAAAGGCACAGTGAGGAGCTTAAATACCACAGGTGGGCTCTGTTCTAAAGAAAATGTGAACTAGAAGGACAGTCATATTTAAAATCAGGAGACAATTGAAATTTCTGGGACATATTGTAAAGAAGGAAGGTCTGTAAATTTCAATGCACTTAGGATGTACTGATGGTAGTAAGAACAAAAGGGAATAATAATACTCTACCTAAGGTGTTTTTATGAATGAATGGCACAGCGGATTGAACAAAGAATATAAAGAGTTAAAAGTTGTTTAAATCAGGCAAGTAATAGAAATTTGTGGAGCGCTCAGATGGACACGACACATACACACATGCATACACATATTTATATATATGTAAATGATTCAGATATATTATATCTGTAAAAGGACAATATGAATAAAGACGAAAAGAAAACTTATTTTAGCCTAAGTTAAGTTTTCCTTTTGTATTTATATAAAAAAAAAACAAATATATATGTTGGGTATACGACAAATACGCTAACAAGAAGGCTTACATTACACATGTCCGACCATTCGTCCATTGCGAGACATCTACAACAACATTCTTGTCCACATTCATAAAATAAAAAAAATACTAATCAACAACACAACTATCCTACACCATGAAAACAACAAATTTAGATTACAGATACTAGAAGTAATTTATATTACAAAATTAAAGCCGGCACTGAACAGAATCAATCATGAATACTGCAGTAATGTTCTGAAATGCCTGTAAAGGAACAGTTTTTTCACGCTTTAATTCGCGCGTGAACATGACATTATAGCACAGAGAGAAAAAATCCATAATGTATAATTTTTCACGTTCTAATGAACGGTCAGCACATTGTCAACCGTTTTCCATTTAAAGACATTATGAAAAAATTATGGTAATGGATAACTAACGCACAACTTTGTATAAATACTTATATTAAAGAACAACATATAGTTTTGTATTATTTGCGCCACTGAAGATGATCTTGGAAAAAGATCGAAAGTACTTGGGAAATGAAAATAAAAGAAATTTAAACATCCATAGCACATTTCTCGCATCCTTTAACATCATTACACGGAAGGTTATTCGTGAATATGAACGGATTTTGTTAAAAATTAGCAGACATAATGTCTGTAATTTATTCATTCAGACATGCCTAAAAGAAATATATATATGTGTGTGTGTGTGTGTGTGTGTGAGAGTGTGTGTGAGAGAGAGAGAGAGAGAGAGTGTGTGTGTGTGTGTGTGTGTGTTGTGTGTCATTTCCGACGTGTGAGAGTAGACCAACACAACCAGACTTGCTCATATGATTTGGCTATAGTGGTGAACGCTTGTGCAGTTTTAGGAAGAGTAGAATACAGAGAACAGGCGCACATTGAGTGCCACAAGGTCCCCAAATGACCCTCCTCAGGTTGTGAATTCAGATCTTACCTTCTCTCCTGTTTATGTCTTGCTAAATGTGTATTCTAAAATACTTGACTCATCCTAGATAGATAGATAGATAGATAAAAAGGATGAGATAGATAATCAAAGGGCTTAGATAGATAGATAGATAGATAGATAGATAGATAGATAGATAGATAGATAGATAGATAACCAAAAGCCTGAAATATATAGATAGATGGATAGATAATCAAAAGGTTAAGATACATCGATACATATATAATTAAAAGTGTGAAATACATGGATAAGAAGAAAATCAAAAGGTTAGATAGATAGATAGATAGATAGATAGAATTCATAGATAGATAGATATTACCTAGATAGATAGATATCTCAGACTGTTTAAAATGATCAGATAGATAGATAGATAGATAGATAGATAGATAGATAGATAGATAGATAGATAGATAGATAGATGTAATTAGACTGCGATAGATAGATAGATAGATAGATAGATAGATAGATAGATTCAAACTGAGATAGATATTGAAGAAAATTAGATAGATAGATAGATAGATAGATAGATAGATAGATAGATGAAATTGGTGCGTATTTGGCTGTGATGTATGTGCATAAAGAAATATGAGATATAGATAATCAAACTGGGATAAATAGATACATATGATAGATAGATAGATAGATAGATAGATAGATAGATAGATAGATAGATGATAGATATGAAAATATGTCAAACTGCGATAGATAGATAGATAGATAGATAGAAAAGGATAGATTCAAACTGAGATAGATATTGAAGAAAATTAGATAGATAGATAGATAGATAGATAGATAGCGTTTCTTTTTATAATAATAGTTATTGTATCCCATCAATTTGTTTTTTTTTTTCATTTCCCTTGATTTTTATGATCATCGTTCCTTTTTATTTTAATGACATAAATCTCTTCATTCCAGCTTTCTTTTGTAATCGCTCAAGTCTTTTTCTGTATACACATATCTTTCATTATGCATTTATTTATTACGCCATCTTTATTGTCTTCTAATTCCTGTTTCTTTCTCAGTGTCTTTACAAAATTGTTGCCCACCCGTCGTTATCATCTGCGTTGAACAATAATCACGACATTATTTTCCTAAAAGGTCTGACTGCTGTAAAATTAAACAAATAAGTAAATAAATTAATGAAAAGGTAATAACGCATAACGAATCAACCAAACTAAACTAAACAATAATGAAGGTAAAAATGAAATTAAAAATAAAAGTCGACACCAGTGAAGCATGAATCGAGCTACGGGTGGTGACCCTCCATCTTTATTTACAATCCCGCCATTTTTCTTGTCGAGTGCCAGTTGTCATCTAATATTCAAATGGATGAGATTAAAAATCTAAACACTATTCTCTGCTCAGACATACACAGAGCACCGAATACTTTTTTTTTATATATTTTTCTTATCGTAAAAGTTGATTAATATTGTATTCTTATTATCTTTATTATTTAAAGTTGTTGCTTTGCAGGAAAATTATTTATTCCCTAAATGGGCTAAAGTAGCGATTGAATAATTTAAGATGGTGATTGAAGATGCCTAGCATGGAAAGTTAGAAGAAAAAGGATGCACAAAAAAAATGGTGTAGCAAAGGAAGAAATAAATTGGTAAGTATTTAGTTTTATTCAGAAGGTGGACAAATACGCTGCTTTTATCAAAATTTGTCACGAAATTGCGCGTATTTGGCTGTGATGCATGTGCATTGTACACCCTTATCAGGCTAGGCGTCATGGCAGGTATATTGAATTTTATATATCTGTACACCAGCATTTTGTTGTTGGCATATCTAACTCAATACTACTATTACAACTACTACTACTACTACTACTACTACAACTACTACTACTACTACTACTACTAATAATAATAAAAATACAAAAAATAGTTCTCACAAGTACAGCCCACACCTTAAGCTTTATCTATGTAAAATATGTGTTTTTTTTCACAAAATTGTCCAGTATAAAATGTCATGATGCTATTTCTGACTTTAGGTCGGAACCCGGAAAGAAAGGAGTACACAACAGAAATCAAAGGAAATAATAATAATAATAATAATAATAATAATAATAATAATAACTCGCATAGACTTCTTTCTATATAGTGACCAAAATTACATGATTTTTTTTCTTTCTGATTGTGTGGAACTCTTTGCGTCTTTGCGTCTTTGCCGTATAAATTAAAAAGTTATTTTATAAATATTAGTCTTTTTTGCGTCTTTGCGTCTTTGCGTCTTTGCTTTTCTCTTGAAGTATCTTGTCGAGTTTTGGAGAGCAACTCATACTACACAAAGCAAAGATAAAAAAAATCAATAATAATAATAATAATAATAATAATACTGTACATGAAGACAAATGGCAGGAACATCAACCTGACCTAGTCATAGATTGTATTGGTCACAACTTATTGGGACTTTATCGTTTATAGCCGCAAACATATAAAAGCGCACTGACCAGATATAGTGATTAAAGACTACAATAAATTGCCTTATAGATTTGACATTGTCATAAAATGAAAAATATATCTGTTAAAGAATATGACAAATTAAATACATTTAAGGATCTTAAAGAAGAAATGTGACACGTAAAAACAATATACTCATTAAAGCTGTACGTATGATATCAAGGAAGACTATTAATAAGATGCCTGTTATCCTTTGTTTATAAGTAATTTAAAACATTGCCTTGTGGAACCGCTCATCTACTCAGGAAAGTATTATTAAGGTTAAAGACATAAACGCGGCTCATGTTAACTATCATTTAACATCAGGATTTGCGCAAATAGAATGCGTATATTTACTAACTTGGTTTCGATTAATTATCCGGTAATGGGGTTGCATTAAACTGAAAGCAAGAGATAATAATAATAATAATAATAATAATAATAATAATAACAATAACAACAACAACAACAACAACAACAATAATAATAATAATAATAAATGACAAGGTAATCTTTTGGCTCTATTATCTGTCATCAATCCATAAAACTCTTGTGCAAACTTTATCAGTGCTAATTAATAACCCCAATAAAATTCCAGAATGGATCCTTGAAAGTATTACATATCACTTACCAAAAACGGGTGAAATGGATGATCCCAAAATGTATAGGCCAATATAAATTGATCACGTCTGTCCTGACAAACTGTACTTATTCTTTCCTCAATGAAAATAACATTCTTCCTCTGTGGAAAAGGTTCATATGGTTGCAAAGATTAACGACTATAAATAAAATGAAATAAATTACTGTAAAGCCTTTGATACTGTGCAACAGTCTTGGATCTTTGGAAATGTACAAAGTCTCCTCTGTAATAGTAAATTTGCTTAAATATAACATGGGATTGTAGAAAACCACACTATACCTAAATGACACCAAAGATACTGCCACATCCAATTATTTGAATATTTCCCTGTCGCTTTTGCACGAACTGAACAGTAATAACTATGGATACAAACTAAAAAAGAAAGTGTTTAATCACCTATTCTACATGGATAATATCAAACTATTTTCAGAAGACAACAATGAGTTGAAGGATATCATCAATACTGTAAAATGTTTCAGTGATAATATCGGAATGTATTTCGGATTAGATAAATGGGCAAAAGTAACATTTAAGGGAAAATTAAAGAAACACACTGAATAGATCGAGATTTTGTCGCAAATATTAGAGAACTGGAACAAGAAGAAACCTAGGAATTAGCGAAGGAGATGGAATACTGTATATCCAAATGAAAGAGAAACTAAGAAAAGAATACTACATGCGTCTGCATCTAGTGTTAAATACCGAGTTGAATTCACAAAACAGAATATCAGCGATAAACACTTTGGCTGTGTTGTTCATGATGACGGTCGTCTTTGAGTATAGAATCCAGAGGTTAGCAGTGAATATTTCGAAGACAGTAAGAAAGCGTTGTTCAGGTTAGCAGTGGATATTTTTGTAAAAGGTAGCAGAGCATAGTTCGTCCTTCTGTTTCTCTTCGCCTGACAAGCTGGACTGGACATTCAGGTAGAGTGAACAAAATGGCCGCCTTTATACACGACGGATTGAATATTCTACGTTTTCTGATTGGTTAACCTTCTATTGGTGGACTATAATGTGAGTCAAGGCATTTTGACTGGCTCACTAGTTATATATATATATATATATATATATATATATATATATATATATATATATACAAAAAACTGCAACAGGCTGTCCTTGTGGGGCAATACAGTTGCAACATCCTTAATTGGGCCATAACTGACATTAAGCTAATGGATGTAAAAACGAAAAAGCTTCCCACTTGCCACCGCATGCACCATCCTAAGGCTGATATTGATCGTTTGTATGAGCCCAGATCCAAAGGTGGTAGAGGATTAGTTCAACTAGAACTTAAAAAACCACAACAATTGATCTCTAAAGATACATGGGAACTACAGAAGACTGGATGATGATATGTGTCAAAGAACATGGCATAATTGGAACTCGGTTCTTCGATTAAAAATTCCGAGCCATCACCCATTACACCACCCGCACATCCAAGTTTACAGCATCTGATACTCCTAAGCGGTCGCCCATAATGACCAGGGTCAGCGATGGGACGGACAGAAAAAGAAAATAGTAACGATAAGAAGGAAATAAAAAAGAAAAAGAAAGAACGAGAAAAGAAAGAGCGAAAACATCTATTGTATTTATCAAAAACATGAAAGGAACAGTGACAGATGTTTAATTGCTCAAAGATCATCATCTCTTTTTCTTATCCTCCAGCTATGGGTTAATTAGTAAAAATTTTATCACTAAGTCATTATTATCTGGAAAAAAAAGGACAATGTAAAAATATTTTCTGGATTTAAATATCCTTGGAAAAGTATGAATCCACCTATTCTTCCCCCAGCTATGGGTTAATTAGTAAAACTTAGATCACTAAATCATTATTATCTCTCGTCTCCCCCCCACAATCTTGCAATCTATAAAAAATATTTTCTGGCTTTAAATAACCTGTAATGGTTTAATAAGCCGTAGAAAATGAACGAATCAATCAATCAATCAAGAAGGAAGGCCATGGTTTCAAACATTTAAGAAAGTGATTTGAACAACAAATGTTTTCTGAGAAAATAAAAAAGGGAGATACTCTGGGATTTTGAGATTCAGATCGATTAGCCGAAACATTGAAATAAAACGATTATAGTAGTACCCATAATAACTAGCATACATGGATCAATGTTCAAAATTATAAAAACTAGTCTAGGGTAATTGAAACTTCGACTATGATTGAAACTGTCAAAACCAGGGCAGTTTATGCAGCGGAAAGGAGCTTAAGTCATGTACTGGAGATCTGAGAAAAGGCACTGCCTAATTATCCTCGACTACAACCACCAGATATCCAGTGTGGACATCTGCATGCACGAAAAAAAAATGATATACATGAGGATCATTAAGATTTTATTTATAGTGTTTGCTTTCACCTGTACAAAAAATAATTGACAGTTGTCAACGATCAGGCGGTGCTCCTCGAAAACAACAGACATACCTGTCCAAGACATTTTTGGCTAAACGTGCGATGTGATTTATTTCGCCTTGTTTATTTAAATATTTGTAAGTAGGTGGATTAGTAAGGGCGTAGCCTGACACATTGCTTAGTTAAATTTGATCCGAATTTGTTGTATAACGTTCGATCACTGTATAATGTATGCCGGTCTGTGCGTATGACTTAAAAAGGAGAAAAATGTTGGAAAAAGCAAATATTCGTATAAATTAAAAGTTATTTTTATAAATATTAGTCATTCATCTGCCTTCGTATATTTGTTTGAAAATGAGGAAAAAAGTGTACTTTCAATTATTCTTTCTCC